TTCTGGTGCTGGACACATTCTTCAATGGAAGTACCTGTTACACAACCGAAAACACGCTTTCTAACTGCCTCGTTACGGATTCGCCGACACCAACGCACACGAGTTATGGTTCTGAGACAACGATTGTCGAACACCTGAGGAGGTCTCAGTTCCGCTGCTCGAATAGGCCAAGTCTCAGAGCCATACAACAAAACAGCCCGTACTGTAGCTTGGTACACACGTCCCTTCAGATTCAGGGATAAACCATTCTGACGCCATAGGTGTCTCAAGTTAGCAAACGCGGCCCGAGCCTTGCAGATTCGTGCATTCACCTCATCTGTCACACTGCAATCAGAACTAATACAACTTCCAAGGTACGTAAAACGCTCACAACTTCCAGTATTTCTCCCTGGATCTAAGTGGCCTGTTCAGTGACTGCACGTCCACACGCATGACCTTACACTTTGTAGGTGCAAAGTGCATACCAAAGGACGAGATGACTTTGGTCAGTTCATCCAGTCACGAATAGACTGGACCCCGTCACGAAGAGACTAAACCCCGTCACGTAGAGACTGGACCTTACCGTGGTGTGACGGTTTGCGCACCTCAGCGATCCATTGAGCTATAGTGGAGAGTGTCCCGCGACACTCACAGAGTCTCTCATACCAGGTTGGTCAATGGTTAGAGGTCTGACGAACACAGTCTCCTGGCCCTCCAGGTTGGGGGTTGGAACATGTGGCGACTTGTTCCGTAGAAATGGTAATGCATTTGCATTTCCCGCCAAACACCGCTGCCTTGCGGTTAGGCTTTTGAGCCAAAGGCTTTGGTTGAGGACCCTAATCGTCCTTCTGTCTAGGTGTGGGCGCCCTAGCAGTATCCCAGCCCTCGTACAACCATGACCTACAATATTAAAACCAGAGTGTCCATCCGAGCCGATGAGACAGAAGCCGTCAAGACCCATAAATCAACCCACCTGATAATATTCGAAGGATAAAAATGGTTTTACATACAGATGCCCTATCGTGGCAATAGAGTCTGAAATGCCATTGCACTTCGCAGTTCGTTTGAACTCATCAGTACCTATTACATGAGATTCATAGGCTTAGCCCCGTGTTGTATTTCACGTTACACAGAGCTGAAGCCTCTGCACTGTCGAGGTGTTTCATTGGTGGGGTCTGTCATTGCAGTACAAAGGCGCGAGAACCACGACTATCTCCACAAGAAATCCAACACCAACCTTGTGTAACGGTGTACTGTCTGGTGTAAAAAGGGCAGTGAGTGCATGGCCTGCTTCATGGTAGGCAGACACTCGGTTAGTCTGCTCGTCCAAGGGTTTTCGTTTCGCTGGGCCCATCAGAAGACGGTCACGGGCGTCCCACAGATGTTGCATGGCGACTGCTGAATCGTTCCGAAGGCCGGCTGCGATTGCTGCCTGTAAGGTGTATGAGTGAGGTGAAAAGATTTGGAAGCTGAAACTGCGTAAACCAATGTACTTGGTGGTAACAGAATGAGACATGGGAGCCTTACTCGAGGAGCGTCAAATAGCAGCTGCAGAATTTGCCAAGCAGAAACACCTATGCTTACGACCATCAGAATGGTTGTTTCTCTCCACAAGAAACGCAACAAAAGGCGTCTTCTTCCAGTGATGCATACTTACTAGCCAAATACTACTTTAAAACAGTGATATCACTAGCATGGCTGTTACATAGTCCTGAAACACTAAACACACAGCCGCGCCCTCAAAAGCGCTCGTGCATCCAAGCCACTGCCTTCAATGCATAGCTCCCTTTCCAATCCTCCCACTTGACAGTCTACTGACAATGCCGTATTTACGCACCAGTTTATCAGCTTCTACCTCCAATGCGGAGTTATCTACCCCACCTCCCCGAATCATCGGTGAACGAACCCTTGGCAGCTACAACCACTGTACGACAAGTACGCGGTTCTTACAGCTGACAATGATTATGATGACACTAAACGGAAGATCTGAATTGATGAAAAGCTTAATCTAGGATGTAACACACTTTGGGGTATGTAACATATCAACAATGCGAAGTGAATGAAATATAACTTGAAAAAACACGCAGACACAACGACGCTGATAAAATTCAGCCACAATGGCTTCCGCTGTCCATGTGTGGTAAGGAATCACACAAATTAATTGTGTGTTGGCCCAGTGAAGATACACATGTGAAAAGACACTAAAAAGCTTAGCAATCCATGCGGTAAAACAGAAATTTGAACCTCATTCTAGCAAAGGCCAGAGAGGACGGCAAAAATTTCGGGGGCCATGTGCATATTCCATGTGAAGTAAGCCTTACTTTCACCATTCCTAAGAAATATCCTCCTTGGGGAGACATAATGATTTCAACCTGGTGCTTTATACTATTGAATAACCGTTGTATTTAACCAGGCGGAAAAAATTGGCCTGACATTTTAAATTGTTATCTTCTGAGAACTACTGCGTTGGTGACGTGTGCAGTGGCATAACTGTCAGATATGGAATAAAATAGTAGGATCGGAACTCGTTCACTTGGCTCATCGTTCTTCCAAAAGGTCGAGAAAGATAAGTGATTCCGCATATTCCTGTTCTAATCCGGAAAATCATTTTTCCTGAGTGACTAAAGAACATGAATACATGATAAAAACCCCAGAATTGGGAGAAATGTGCTTATGGAGGGAAGCACTTCATACTGGCAACGGTATCTACCTAACGATTGCGCATCTATCAGTCCAATCGTAGTTTATTATCATCACTATAATTAATAACAGTGGAGTCAGTGCCGAAAACCGACACATCAATGCAAAGAGCTCTCCGGTGCTACTGAAGTCACTGCCCTGTTGGAGTCAGTCACGTAATCGAAATCCGTCTAAATTCGAGTCAACACAATTCGATTCGATACAATACCTACGACAAAAAGTATGTTTCATTGTCACCAACCTGACTTATAGACGTACCTGATTGACCAAATTCTGTATGTCAGCACCCGTATAACCCACGGTTCCATGGGCCAGCTTGATGATATCAAGATCCGGTGCTGTCTTAATCTTGTGCAAGTATAGTTTGAGTAGAGCGACGCGTCCCTAAATGAACGGAATATTAAAATGAAATTAATTATCGCCTCAACGGTAAACATGTAGGTATACTCCTTGGTTTAGTTTGTTCAGCAACGTAGTTGGAAAAGTTGGACGGGAAAAGTAATCCGATTATTTAGGAGAAAGCCTGGTAACTGCAAGTCGCACTGATAGCTAAGTCGGCTACCAACGCGTTAAAAGCTCAATTTATACCGAATGGCAAAACAGGTTCAGAAGGCAATGCATGGTAGTGACGCGTGAAATTAATGCTTTGAGAATAATCTTATCCATTAGGTACTCTATGAAAAGTATATCCAATCCTGAAAACGTCCACCTCTGTAGTGTGGCGTCAGATATCTCAAATAAGTCGACCGAGGTATAGTAGGTTGCTGAAGCCCAATCTGAAGCAAATTCCTCAGTAAGACACTCAGGGTATGAATTTCGTGGTCGACTGTTTGGAAACAGCATACCAAGTAGCAGTCGCGAGGCTAATACCTGAACAAACTTGTCATCAAGGAAACTACTCACAAATCTGGGTGGGCTGTCGAAGTTTTCAGCAACCTTGCGAGTAGTTTCCTTTGTGAAATTATACTGCGATACCACGAATATCGTGTCAACTGAACCATGAGGCAGCCTGTGTGGAGCACATTCAGTTGTAGAATACCAGAATACCATAAACGAGGGATTCCGTTGAGTCTTTCGTGAAAACCAAATTGGTTATCAAACGAGTGTATTTCTCGAAAACTTGTCATCACTTTTTGGTTAGCAAGGCTAGTTGCTTCTGGTGGTTAATCTGGTTAAGATGGGGATTTAACTTAACAAAACAGCGATTCAAGGTGTGACTAGGGGAGCGCAGCATGAAATATATACAGCAGTAATCAAATAAATTCAACATAAACAAACCCAACTCGAGCTTCAGATGTTGAGATGAATAGTGAGGGATTTGGACTGTGTGGTTTTTTTTACGAAAATCACCAGGTAAGGCTAAAAACCGCGCATAGACACATGTTTCCACATCTCACGCGAAACATGGGAACTGCCGAATGCATTAAAAAGTCGGGTTTCATCAACGGTCAAACCTATCGCCAGAACGATGTTCGGTGATTGGTTACGGCCGTACAGGAGTTAAAAATTTTTCCAGAGACCAAATAAAGTACTGAAATTCCATAAGTGACCAAGGGAAAAACACCAACCTCAAAAGTTGGAGGTGAAACATGAATCTGTACATCGAAGCGACCGGGTCGAAGGAGTGCCTTGTCTAAATCTTCGGATTGGTTAGTGGCACCAAGAACTATGATGCCTTCAGTGGACTGAAATCCATCCATTTCTGCGAGCAACTGGTTGATTGTTTGGTTTGCGTAAGGGTGATGGGGTGAAGAAGTACGGTTACGTCCAACAGAGTCGATTTCGTCGATGAAAATGAGACAAGGAGCGTGTTGCTTGGCGGCCGTAAAAAGTTGTCGGACGCGAGACGCTCCCATACCGACAAACACTTCCTCGAAGCTGCTACCCGACACATACAGAAAAGGCACCTATAGGAAGGAAAGTGAAATGAAGGCATAGAAGTGAATAGAGTAAACCCTGTTATTGCCCATTCATGATTAAGAGAACTTCCCTTGATTGTAAGACCTGAGGAAGCACAGAGTGAAAGACAGCAAGCACAATGTTCTTAACAGGATGTGGCCACTCAACAACACACCTGACTCAGCATCGACACTTCAGTGGTCTCAGTAATACTATCCTATGAAAAGGATAATTGCATACCGGGTGCAACAGCAGCAGGGAATGAGACTGCTGAGACGATCCATCAACCGTAGAAAGGATGGAATTTCCTTTTCACTCGTGAAGGAATCCCACTTGAACTAACAAAATCACTTACATAACTCAACATGTCTCGTGGAACTGACAGTCATTATCGTTAAAAAATAAATTACTTATATCATTTAACTGTAACCCCTTTCGGTGCATAGCCTCCATGCTACCTGAAGGAAGCACGAGGGGTGGGATACTGCCAGGTTGCCCGAGCCTAGGCAGGGGAGGTTGAGAGACAGAGGTCGGGTTCGAACCACGGACCTTCGGGTCAGTAAATTCACGCCCTAACCACGTGAGTCATCTCGCACTCCAGTGATGCTCAAAAGCGGTGATGCTGTAGAAATCAATTTGGCGGGATTACTACGGATGAAACGGACAGTGACCAAAAAGGAGTGCTTCTACCATCATACCAATCTTCAAAAACAATATGCGAACACCACGGAACCGCAAGCCAGGTATCTGTAGCTTCTAAAACACCATGGTCTTATTTTACTTCACTTCACTTCAATGTTGGGATATGTGGGGAGATCCGAGGGAATTCAGTTGAGTTTTGTTCGGTAGGTGTACGTGGACAACACAATCGTTCACCAATGAATCATTACCACCGGCAGCACTATATCAATATTTAACACTGATTGTGAAGAATAAAAATGGACGGGAAAAGGACTCGGTGTTCGCCTTCTACAGTTATACCGAGGTACCTACACCTCCAGACATTCAGACATTCTGGATAGAAGCCCATAGTAAGGACGCAAATGACATTGATTAGCAGCCATATCTTACGGCGTCTGCAACCACGCACAGGCAGTGAAGCATCAGCGCCAACACTGATGTTGCTGTCTTTGATGATGATGATGAACCACGGAGGGATCACGCGGGCTCTACCCCGGGAGGCTCGTGCAGGTAGCACCCAGATCTTTCCTAATCTCTTTCATACCCCTCTACCAGACCAGATTTACAGCCACCCATCTTCGGTAAACGATGGCTCGGTATTTGCAATCAAAATCAATCAATTTATCAGCTAAAAACCGTATAACATAGGTGCACTCGTACCAGCTGCTACAATTTAGATCATCTGGAAGTGGGAGAGTGTGGGATATACAGCTAAGCCTTAGAGGTGATGGCATTTCTAGTTACACATTGAAGACGATAGCTTTGATGCACCAGCGCCATCTCATCTACAGCCAGTTCACCAGAGCTTATACAACTGCCCAGGTAAACTAATTTATCTACTATGCCAAATGGATCACCTACAAGCATGAGGTTCTGGTATGGTATTGTGGCAGCACTTTAAACTTTAAGGATGTAAATGGCACGTCAAATCAGCCGCCAGGATTATTTAAGTTATGTAAAATGGTTTGCATAATTGAAGCACCTGAACCAAGGATAGAAACATCGTCCGCATACTCAATGTTTGTAAGTGAAAGTCCCGGGACCATTCCCACCCTGGAGGTTTCAGAGACAGGCAGGAAAATTTCAAGCAGTACACCAATAACAAAGTTGAAAAGGTAGGATAAGAAAGATCAGCGTTCTCTGAACTCAGGTCAAAGCTTGCTGTATACTCGTACACACCTACAGGAGTTCGCACACAGTGCTCTTATAAAGAATATAAATTTGGAACGGGCATCTTTGATCGTCAGACGCCGCCAAAGTTTCTGACGATCGACAGAGTCATAGGCAACTTTCAAATCGAGAAAAACGACCACCGAAGAAATGGTGCTGATCCAGAACTTGTCTCAACGTAGATAAATGGTCGATGCATCCTAGGTCAGGGTGAGGCCCAGCTTGACTCTAACGAAAATGCGGCGATCTCATTTCAGCACGAGTCGAAATCGGATGGTGGAGCAGTTAGAAGAGTTCAGAAGAGAACTCTTATAAAGTCCTCTAACTTGAGGATCTGCCAGCTTTTTAAAGCAATTTGTCTGCACTTTATGGGACCGTGGAAAATGAAAGAAGCGACTCTGGACGAGCGCCTGGTCGGTATCCACAAATACGCTCCAAAACAAGCGGTAGTCAGCTATTGAACCGCGGCATCTGTAACTGATGCCAGTGTAATCAAGTTGACGCCGGAGAACGTGATCAGACGACTTCGGCATAAAAGTAGTCTGCGGTCAGTGCAAAGATAGATCAGTTCTTCGAAGTTATCCGTATGGACTGAGTTTAATCTATATCGTCCACCGCTTGGGCATTCAAATCTCCGGCAACCACAACAACACCTGAGCTTCTAGCCCACCGTACCACAGCATTCAATGTGTTAAAATTTATCTTCGATGATGTCAAAGCTACAACCGATTGGAGTGTAAGAACACAAGATAGACAGATGACGACTCAATTCCCTCTGCGAGACTCCACAGACGGTGCCAGACGAACCGCACAAACATCTAGTCATGGAAGGAGCCTTCTGCGCGGTAACTTAAGCCGATGTCGACCCGTGCACATCCTGACACAGCAGCCTCTAGATCATGAGAGGTGTGATGCGGTAAGCGGGTGGAGGGTGGTGGGCGGTTGGCTCAACCAATGCAGTCTTGAATTCCTGTTTCTGATACACACGACACATTAAAGTCAAGTGAGTCATGTGAAAGAAAGAGCAGCATGTTGTCCTGCCTGCTTAAGAGTGATAACATTAACCTTACGGTGAACGACAGATCTTGCGGGTTACGTTTAAATCTTTCACGTTGTTTTCGAAATACTTTGGGGAAATTATGACCATCAGAATCCTTAGTTCATACATCGGGCTTCTAGCAAGCTTGAAACCTAACAAAGGTTTGCCTGAAGCCTTGCTAGTTTCCGTGTCACAGTACATTCAAAGACGTTCGAGGGTGACTATACAAAATACTTGAGGTGAGGCCTTGAAATGATCAACAATGATTTTCCCAAAAAATTTCAAGCTCATGAACTTCAACAAAGAGCAGAGGAAGTACATTTATTTTCAGCACAATTCACACTAAGGCAGTTAGGAGTTTTGGGCTCAGGAATGCAGTCCAAAATCCCCAGAAAAGGCACGTTAAGGACAAGCGAAAGTCCAATTTCCATGCTTGTATGCTCAAAGACACCAGGGGTGCGCGTTCGGAGCGGTAGGTGGCCGAAATGGGGTCTTGTGTGCGTGTTTCAAGGTCAGGGTTCGTTCGGAGCGGTAGACGGCCGAAATGGGGTCTTGTGTGCGTGTTTCTGAGACACAGTATATACCGATCGAAAGAGGAAACAAAGGCTGAGCAGGTGCCTGTTGCTTACTTTGACACAGTGTATGGATGCTGAAAGCACCTATGCGGAACATTTCTGAGGTAATAATGGTTTACTTGGGCCTATGTTACTGGGTGGGTGCTTAGATATGGATCAATTGTTAGGTGGCTGACTTGAGCGGGACATACAGAGGAATTAGTGGGTGAAGAGCTGTAAAGGCTAATGATACGCCCCAGTTACTGCGGCCAGATAGGGTTTGGCTGAGAAACTTCAATTTAAGCCTTTGACTCAAAAGTGTGACCCACAAGATAGTTGGAAGAAGAGCATCGTTTGCATAGCCTTCCCCTACCCTCTGACTCATCTGAACCGCGAGAAGGCGGTTATTGAAGTTTTCTTGAGAGACCCATTAGCCTGAACAACTTGGCTGCAGGGGGCGGCTCAAGGATACAGGGAGTATGGCATGACTGCCTCCCGACCTAAAGCTGCCACCTTGACGTCCCAGGCGACAGCATGTCCATATTTATGGAAGCAGCGATGCTGTCTTCTCCCGAGGAAGGACGGGTCAGAAAAGGTCGGCCCCAAAAACCCTCCACTCCGGTCGCCCATCGGTTGACCGTGACCGCCGGCGCATTATCCAATACGGTCGAAATACTTTTAAAGCCAAAGAGCCCGGTGCTACTCAAAAGGCACTTGCTGTGAAGAGCCGCATCAGGAATGAGACAGCAAAGACTTATTCCCTGCGCCCTCGAGTTAGGCCAACCCCCTGCAGCCGAGCAGGTCAGACTATTGAGTCGTCGGCTCCAGGAAGGGTCCCCAAAGAAAACCCTACATTCTCCCACTGCCTCGTGGGTCAGACAGTTGAGTCAGAGGCTAGGGTCAGGGTCCCCGAACAAAACCTACGTCCACCCACTGCCTCGTGGGTCACGGTGTGGTATCTCAACCAAACCCCCTTCCTCGGCCTGAGCAACCGGGAAGTATCATTTGCCCGCGCAGTTCAGCGTCCACTGATGTCCCTCCCCAACCCCTTCCCAGTGCACAAGCAAACGTCGCTGGGCCACTTGACTGTCAGTTATCTGACCGAAGTTCCTTATGCTCCCCGCTGCCTACAAACAGTAAACAAAATAACACCTTTCTAAATCCACAAGATCCTTTCTATATAGGAGCTTT